GGGAGGGGGGAGTAAGGAGAGGCGGGGAGGTGAGAGAGGGAGAGTGGAATATCCGCTCAGCACCTTACATAGCTTTCATAATATCGTGCACCCCGGCTGTCCGCACAACCCTGCTCCACAGACATTCTGACCGCTGCACCTGTATCCTCACTACTCCGCGCCAATAAATGTCTGTGCCAACGTGAGACCACCATTCTATGTCATTGTCGCAATCCGCTGCTGCGCTTGTCATGCCATTGGACCACGCGTAAACGATAGATCCAGCCAGATTTCGGGTTTCTATCGTGTTTATATCAGTCCCAAGTTAAGACTCTGTGCTTCTACGTGGGTGACTTTTCAATGCTAAGTCTGATGGCACTTTCAAAAGTTAACTAAAGAATCGGCGAAGAGTTTAGAAGCCAATAAACCAAGAGAAAGGTTAAACGTTAAGAGGGTTAAATGGTCTAAAGTTAAAGGGTGTCTTTGTTATCACCCAATCCATGTTCTCTATGAGCATGATTTAATAGTCGAACCTTCTATCAGTTATCCTGTTAATACTTCTATAGAATTGGTGGTTTCCCGTCAGACGTTCGCAGTATTGTTTCGCTGTTTGCCAATCGGTTGATCGAGTAATGCCGCTGTGATTCACCCTGGTCGACCGCTGCACTGAGTGGTATTCAATGTCTTCCTACGAGGAAACATTGTTTTGATGAAAAATTAGTAACATTGATTTGCGACACTATGTGTTCCGCGGATGAATAAACCATTGTATGAAACTATGTATAGCACATGCATACATTAACATAACATACAATACATTGACAGCTACATCACATACAGTACATACATAACGAGTACATAGCATACAGTACATACATACATAAAGTACATATCATACATCATACATAGCATAGCAATACATACATTATCATCAGCATACTACAATGACATACATTACATACTATACATCATACATACATTACATAATCGTACACTTATCATGACAACATCGCATACATTACATCATAAACATAACATCATAACATACATACATACAATTACATTCATACATAGCATACAGTTACAGTACATTACATGACATACAGTGACATACATACATCAGCAGGTTACATACATACATACATACTAGCAGTACATACAGTACATATACATACATACATTACATACATCATACATACATAACATACAATACATACATATCATACTCATACAAATACATATCATACATACATACATACATACATACATATACATACGAGTACATACATAACATACATACATCACCATCAACCATTACATAACATTACATAACATAACATACATTACATGACTACATGACTTACATACATCACATACATACATACATACATACATACTATACATATCTAGGACCATACATATCATGACATACAGTACATACATCACAATACATACAGTACATACATAACATACAATAGCATACATACAGAGACATTGCCGGCGCACGCACACACACATACAACACACGACAATACCACACAGTTCACAGCCACACACACACAGCCACACTGCGCGGCGCCGTCGACTACACATACAGTAGCACACACACAGCACACATGCACGCGCACGCAACCGGCATGCACGCAACACAGTCGCACCACACCACAGAGGCGGACACAACACCACCACACACAGCAGCCACACCCACTACATACACCCAGGCCACGACATATATATATATATCATATATATATACTATGTGTGTGTGTGTGTCGTGATGTGTGTGTGGTGTGTTGTGTGTGTGTTGTGATGTGTGGTGTGTGTGTACGTGTGTGTGTGTGTCTTGTGTGTGTGTGTGTGTCTGTGTGTGTGCGTGGTGTGTTGTGTGTGTGTTGTGTGTGTGTTGGTCTGTCTGTGTGTGCCGTGTGCTGTGCGTTGCGTGCTGTGCGGTCGTCTGTGTGTTTATGTGTGTGTGTGATTGTGTGTGTGTGTCTGTTGTGTGTCGCGTGCGTCGCGTGTGTGCGTGTGTGTGTGCTGTGTGTGTGTTGTTGGTGTGTGTCCCGCTAGTTTTCATTAGTCAGATTTTCCTAACACCAGGAGGTTACCGACTCGCGTTCCAGTTAATGCACCAAAGGACACATGCCTGAAGTCGGTGCACATGGGCGGATTGAGCAACATCCTCCTCATACCACCGCATATTACTAGCATAGAAAAACGCGGAGCGTCAATCAGCTTACCAACGGAACGCTAGCTCTCACTTAGCTACGTTCTTGGTTGAACACGGCACACGTCGGACAATCTGTCACATGCGGATCATGCTGCTTCTACATCAAGCGTCGGTCAGGAGCTAGCATGTATGCACTGATGTAGTGCAGCCAGAGTAAGCATGGATGCACTAGACAGGTGCGATCAGAGTTTAAAAGTCATGATGCAGCTCAGCTAGTTGCACGCAGCAGTAACTAATGATCGGACTTATGACGAGTGCATCAGAGTAACATGATGCCCTATGTCAGTGGCGCGAAGTTCGATGTTGTAGCTGCATGCGAACGTATCGCAGTAGTCAGCATGAATGACATCTATGCAGGTAAGCATGGATGCAGACTATGCAGTAGTACATGTAACTTCCACTATGCAGTGCGCGTGGGGGTTTCGGAGTGTTGCGGGCGCAGTGAGCAAGCCATGATGAATGGACACTCGCAATTTTTACCACGCCCATCGGAAATAAATTAAAATTAAAACTAGATTAAATGTTTCTCGGTTAAATTACTAAAAGTCCCTCCACTCAGTTTGTTGCTGCGGTGTGGACATTTAAAGTTCATCACCATGCCTCCTTGCTGTAGGTGAATCTACGAGTATGGTTTTTCGCATGCAAACGCGCATGTTTTGACCATTTGCAATTCGAATAGCTGACCTACAGTGTTAAAGAGGCCGAAAAGAGCCGGTAAGTACGTGTTAAGTGTAGGCAAGAGCCACGTGCTAACCTTAATCATAACATGGAGTCATGGCGACATGCTTACACGTGTCCAAGTACGACAAGTAGAGCGTCAACACCAGTTTTATGCATACCCGTAAATTCCCATGAGTTCCTTCAGTTTGATCGGGCCCTCGACATAAACCGGGCCAGAGGTCGCTTAGAACGACGTATGTCATTGGAAAAATGATTCATCCACTTACGTTATGGTATAATCGATAAACGGGAATATTAACATCGATAAAACGTGGATATTCACATCGGCATTAGAAAGCGGATGCTTTATGCCAGGAATTGAGTAACTTAAGCGAAACGTTGGATTGTATTAGTTTCGATAGTAAAATCGGCCCCCAGTAAGACCGTAACCCAACCCCTCCTCCAGCCCTCCCAAACCTATCAGTTCCTCCCAAAACTCCTCCCCTTAAGCGTCGATGTAGAGTACACTACCGCGGCGCGCTTCGCGATGCGAGTGCTGTCATGAATAGCAAAGTAACAGCTTGTTCTGCCAGTTGGATGGTCGGCGTGGAGCCGAAAGCCATCGCCGGCCTTGATTGCTCCGCACGCCGAGCAAAACACACGCAAGCAT